TAAAAATTTATGTGAGACTTTTTCTTTTTCTTATTAAATTTCATAATTTATTTATACTTTATTTATCCCCAAAGTTGGGAAATGTTTATGTTACAGAGCTTTTGCTTTGTGAGAAACCTGTGTAACATAGAATTTGGTGTTAGGGAATGTGCTGTACTGTGCTGGCTTCCCTCATCTTCCTCTGCACTTCCAGGATTGTCCAGTGGGGGGCGTTGAGGACTTCCTGTGCTCCCTATGTGTCCTCTGGCATCAGAGGAAAAAAAGAAAAGAGAGAGAGAGCAGCTGCTTCTCACAACCCAGCCTTTGCGCTGTCATCCTCCCCCCTCCTTTCTCTTCTCCCTCAGGAAGGGGAGCACCACACCCTGTCAGCCAATCAGAACTCAGCTCCACCCTCTCCATCACATCATCTCAGTTTCCAAGGTAACAGGGCGACCCCTCTCTCTCTCTCTTTCACTCCCTCTCTGTTTCCAAACTGAAAGGTGCCGCATCATCATCATCATCCCTCCCATCCGTCCTTTCACCCCACCGTCCCATACTGAGCTGGTGGCTAGTTTAGCTTTAGCCTCTCCTGTGTTAGCATCATCTCTGTCTCTCGCTCGCTCGCTCTCTTTCTGCAGTGGGATTGCCACAACATCAACGGCACCTCCCTTCTCCTCACTCTGCATCCTCTAACGGAAAAGCAGAGAAGGAAGAAATGAGATGGACTAAAGGATGAACAGAGATGTGGTATGTACTGCTAAACCTGCTCTCTGTTGCTCTGAGTACCCTTTCTTCTGTTTTGACTACATGAAAGGGTGTGTGTGTGTGTGTGTGTCACTGTAATCCTTCCTGGAATGCTGATTTAATAAGTTGTGTGACGCTCTCGCACCCAAACTGATGCAAATGAAAGAAAGAGAGAGAAAAGGAAATGGATAGAGGGAGACAGAAGCAGAGGGAGGTGACTCCCAATCTCTGCCTCTCTCTCTCTATCTTAGCTTTTGTTATGGAGGCCTGTTCTGCAGAAGCTCGCTCTGCCTGCTGCATACAGAAAGAGGGCAACACCTCTCCTTTCTGTTCCCAGTCTGCTCCCCTGCTTCTCTTACTGCTCTCTTTCACCTCATATCAAAATCTGGTTTGCTACCTTGGCAGTTTTAGGACCTGGTGCCTGCTTTTGATGTTTTTGAACACTCAAAATGTTTTTAGGTTCTTAATGCAAAATGGGGCTCGAACAAAGTTCTCATTCACTTCCACTTAACCCAGTCTAACAAACAAATTTAAGCATAGTCGGGTTTCCTGTCTCCTGTTTGGTCTGTCTCCCTGTGCTGTGTTTGAAAATGAAGAGTTCATTATTCACATGTTTGATCACTATAGTTTGCACAGTATCTCATTGCAAAACAGCAAAGTGCTGTGCATACAAAAGGCTTTAATTCCTGCAACAGAAATGTAACATTGTCCTTTTCAGGGGAAGAATACAGGACAGTTTTTTTTGCTGAAAGGAGCACAATGTAAGCAGATTTTTAGTACTGACAGTTTCTCAAAGTGATGGAAGTACAGTGCTTTAAAAAAAGTGTTTGTCTCCTTCCTGATGACGGATCAAAAAAACTTCAGACAACCTTTAGTTTTAAAATGTTGATTTTATTTATTAAGGGAAAAAGTAATTGCTCCCTTTGTTAAATCAAGGGATGGATTAAGTGTGATTAACCACATTTGTTTTGGAAAGCTGAGGTTAATAATCAGTAGCCACACCCAGGCCTGATTACTCCTATACCTGTTTAATAAAAAAAAATCCCGTAAATAGAAATTTACAGAGAACCCAGCGAGAGCCATTATTCACAAATGGAGACCTTTTCCTAAGAGCGTCTCAACATATCACCGAGGAGGTCATAGAAGAATCCAGAACAACATCTAAAGAACTGCAGACCTCACTTGTCTTAGTTATGGTCAGCAGTCATGATCCAACAGGAAAAACGATACTGAGCCAAATGATGTCCACTGCCGACCAAAGCACAGTCTCAAAGGCTGGTCCCACATTTGCCAAAAAACATCTTGATGATCCCCAAGACTTTTGGAAAATATTGACGAGAAAAGAAAAGTTGAACTGTTTGGAAAGTTCGAGTCCCGTTACATCTGGCTTACAACTTATAAAGCATTTCATCAAAAGAAGATCATACTAACAGTCAGGCATGGTGGTGCTAGTGTGATAGTGTGAGGCTGCTTTGCTTCTTCACGACCTGGTTAATGTGTCGTAATTCAGGGAATCATCAATCTTCTCACTAAAACATCAAGTCCTTACTACATGCTTAGAAGCCCAAGGACACTTGGTTTATGTAGCAGCACACTGAGCTGAAACACTCACGCAAGGCCTCCTCTGAATGGCTCAAAGTGTAATGTTTTGGAGTGGCTTAATCAAAATCTAGACTTAAATCTGGTTGAGATGCAGATAGGTGATAGGTGTGCATTGCTTTTGTCCCCTTAATAAATTCACTCATGATTTAAAATATGCTCTTTGCATTTATCCAATTTATCTTTGTCTATTATTACATTTATTTTTCATCCTATGAAACGTTTAAGTGTGACAAATATGCAATAAATAAGAAACCAGGAAGGACGAAAATACTTTTTTACAGCATAGTTTTATAGAAATTGTTGGATGCAAAACAAAAAGTGTGCATTTCTTCTTTTTCTTTCTTCTGCTATCAGTTTAACTTGATAGGAGGGACATATCTTCACATTAACCAAATATATAGTGTTTATTTGGAGCATTTATTCGCCATTAGTTACAGCACAGGGTGAATTCCAGTCCTGTGCTTAGAGTTTCGATTTCAAACATTATTTTCCATGTATTCAGATTTTATTGTGGATTCTCTGATGAACAGGGTTCAGATAGATATCCCATATTGGTCTATATTCTGACAAAGAGTGTTGTTCTTTTCCATTTTTCCTCACATCAGTTCAGTTATGCTTAATTGTGTCTGCTTTTTTGTCGTCTTTTTAACTGTGTTTAAGTCTGAAGTTGTTGTAGTTGTAGACGCAGACCGTAGACCGTACGATTTCCCGTGTGCCCGTCATTAGCATTGTTTTCTATTGGTTAGCTGTATAGTGTTCGTGGTCAGTACAATCCAGATCACTGCCTTTGTTTTCCACTCCACAGGATATGATGTAACTATCTCTTGAGCTGTAAAACTGGACTGAGAGAGAGAAACAGAGATGCACAGAAGCATAGACATCAGAAGGAAGGTGATGGAGGGTGAAGTGGGTGTAGGTCGCTCTTGTTAAAGATGGTTTATAGGATTAACTCCAGGCTTAAGCAAAGAAGAGAGGGAAGAGAAGAAATATGACTCCTTTGCTTTCTTAAGGACTAATCCTGAACTAGCTTTAATCTTATGGGGTGTTGACACTCAGAAACAGTAACCTTAAGAGTTTATGTTGGTCACATAGTGACTTAGAGCTGGGTAGAAGGCAAAAGTCTCATTATCATGTTAAACTGGCCTCTAATAATACGTTAAAACCCGATAATGTCTTTTTACTACAGGTCAGATTAAGTACTGGGACTTAATTTAAATGAAAACAAATGAATATCACTAGTAGATGCAAAGAAAGAGGACAGTTTTATCTTGGTGCAGTGAGGTTTTCAGCCTCTGTGTGACTTTGATAATAGCAGTAAGACTCTGATTGTCACTGGAGACATGTTTTATTTTTCACAAACAGCATTAGGCACATTAGAAATACACTGTGGACCAGGTTTGCTTTACCAGTGTTGATAACCAAGATGGATGGAACTGGATTCCTCATTTGGTACATATTGAATTTGCAGAAATGTTCTATGCAAAAGAAAGCACTTATAGGAACAGATAGAATCGCTGTTTGCACAGTTTTGCTCTGTTTGCTTTGAAGTGCTGCACTTTAGACATATAATGCAAGAATATCAGAGTATTGAGACTGCAACGAAGGATGTTTTTTCTAAAAGCAGGTGCTTACCAGGATAATTGACTAAAAATACAGACTTGGAGTGGTCCAAGGAGTCATCTGTGTCTGTGAACTAATGAACACATACGCAATCGAAGCAGTAAAATATAACATTGCACAACAATAATGCATAAAAACATTGATAATTCAAAGTGTTTCATTTGTGCTTCATATAAAAAGATTAAGAGGTTGTTACTTTACTGTTGTAGCACATCTCTAGCATTGCACCAATACTGAAAAACTGTAGTTAAAAATGAAGTAGTTATCGTCACCATCTGGTCTGCTTCTTTCTCCTGGAGGTTGGCTGCTGCTGTTTCAGACAGCATCAGCTACTCTGATGAAAGCACCTCCCCCATGTTGACTTAGAAACTTGACCGGGTGTTATTTCAGCCAATTAAATAGCATGAAGGCTTGGCTTTGGACACACTAGGAAGCTTGCCGCTCTGTGTCTTACTGTGCTGGTTACGACAGGATGATTGGCATTAATGCAGGAGACTCACTCCACACATCTTTGTTAGCACCAGCTCTCAGACTCCAGACATCAAACTGCAAAGTGTGAGAGCTTTTGCTGCTGTAGACACGTGGAAATGCAGCTGAAAGTCTGCATGATGTGATTTGTTCTGTTGCTGTCTTGAGTATATATTAGATATATATATATATGTGTACTTGTTTTCCTGTTACTTGCTGCTAAACCTGCTCCCCTAACCTTCAACACCTGGCCTCCTGCCTGCAGTTTTTCTATGGTAACACAGTCACAGTGTAGAGGTGGCTAATGAGTGGATCTTTCACCACAGAGGACCAGACTCTCCCGGGGTCACCTTTAATTAGCCAGCAGCCATCGCCTTGACCTGAATTGATTTTTGGTAAAGTTCATTTTCATGGCATTTAACAAAACAAATCTGGACAAAGCTTTAGGGATAACATGCATAAACCTTTATAGAAGCAGTCTGCGCGTAAAGATAACTTTTCTGCATGAATGTCTGTTCAGATTTTACTTGGTTAGTCATGTACAAGGTTTCATAGACAAATAAAGGTTAAATAATGTCATAAAGCATTTTCTTTTTAACCAACTTCATGAACCATTTTTGCAGTTTCGCCCCATTTTATCGATCAGGAATGTTTGGTTCATCTGTAGCTTTTGTGTGCCTCGCACTAATCCTGTAATAATGATGTCGTTATCAGGCTGCTATGAGGATAACAGATCTGTTGCAGAAATCCTTAACGTCTGTCAAAAGACAGCTCTTTATGACTGGCTCTGTCTGACTTATGTGAAATGCTGTTTATGATGGGTTTGTGGTGTGACATCTATTCTTGAGCAAATGGTCTTATTTACTGTATTTTGGAGCAGTTGGCACAAGACTTTATGACCATTATTACCCTATTATGAAAGATCTTTACAGACGGGTTGTGTTAGCAGGTGTGCTGCAGTTTACAGCTGCTAAAACATGTCAGAAACCAGGAGTCATTCTTTAATTGCTGATGTGGTGAACTGCATGCTGGTTGGTTTGTCAGCTCCCTTTCCTCGCAGTTTCTCTCTGCAGAGCTGATGCACTACAGCCCCAGCAGGGAGAGAACAGTAAAGATAGAGGCTGGTGAGCTGCTGGCATTACGATGATCGAGCAGGAATCCTTTTTCACTGCACTGTAATAGTTTAGTCAGATGGTCATTCCTGCACGTTTTTTGCTTTGTCCTTAGGAGCACTATAGTGCTTCCTTAAAAGTGGCTCTAAGAAGGACGCTTAAACCATTCAAGCTGTGATATGGTAATAAAGCTTTATAAAA